CTTGATAGCCAGTTGCAATATATTATGTTCTTTGTTCGTTCGCTCATGTTAAACCCAGAAATGCTTGATAATTGATTTTGAAAGGGTTCGTGTTCAATTGGTGTTTTGTACATTTTGTGCACATTATAAGCAGTTGTGTTGCGAACTACTTTCTTATATGTATATAACCCCAAGTCGATTCAAGTTGTTTTGATGGAAGAGAAAAGTTATTAGCACGTTGCATTCAAGAATTTGGAATAACGCGAGCTTTTGAGTTGCATAAAACGGTGAATGATCAAGTGAAAGCAATATTTTCTATCCATAATGCCTCACATTTTCATACAAGTTGCTCTCTTGCGATTCGATCTTGCTCAGTTTCAGTTGATGGTTACTTTTATTAGGATGAAGAAAAAATCCGAGTCATGTACGAGAAGCAATGTAAGAGGCTAAGAACGTTAGACGAGGAGGGAGCTGAGTCTATCAAGATTGATGCCGCTCGAGCTTCTATAAGGAAGTTACTAACGAAACTCGATGTTAGCGTTAAAGCAATCGATGCTATTTCAATAAGGATCCACAAATTAAGGGATGAAGAATTGCAACCTCAGGTTGCTGAATTGATTCACGGGTACAAATACCTTAATGTGTTCGTTTATAAATTATTTCAATTCATACTCAAATTATAACCTTAATTCAACTTCAATATCATCAATTTTATCAATATAATTAAATAATATTAATCTTACATTCTTAAATGTCACATCAATTTTTATCCACTATTTATCCACTCACATAATTTTAACTAATTATCATTTCACATCATCTGTCTCCTACTTTTACATCAAACCAACTTTAATTATTTATCTATAGATTTAAAAATATTTTTTTAAATTGTATTATTTTTTTTTTCTTGTGTAATCTTAATTTAAGTTATTTTGGTCTTGTAGTGTTCTTTTATTTTTATGCATTTAAAATTTATTATTATAATTTAATTTTTTTTATTTTACAATTTATTGAAAATAAAATATAAAAATTTATATTTAATGAGTGGATAATGGGTCCCATATATGTATTTAAATGAATGTGTATGAATGTGGGTGAGTGTTTAAATGGAGAGAGATTTAGTGGAAAGATGATGTGGAAATGATGTGGATGAGAGAGAGTGCTACTTTTTGATTGAATGAATGATATTTGTGTTAAGGGTTGTGGATGCCCTAACAAATAACAGTACCAACTTTTTTAAAATTAACTCTGGGTAACAAAACGCGGATATATTTGTATCCAAGCACGCCTTAAATGTATTTGGTTACAACATTACTTTATTTATTTATTTATTTTTTTTTTTCTAGATTGTGG